GCCAGTTATCCATAAACTATATATTATACCTTTTATTTAAACACCATTTATTTTTAACATATAATAACATTTTACAATTTAAACATTTATGAAAACTACGTAAACACCATATATTGAATACTTTTTTTTTTTTTTTTTTTTACCCCTACGAGTTTGAAATAACACAGTTGTTCCATACTATGTTGCCATATATTCAGGGTTACGCTTCTGGAGTAGTTGGTTCCCTTGATCATTCTGTTCCGGGATCACACTGATTTCATTACAGACTGTCCCTGACTTAGAGTGGTTTAACTCAAGATTTTTGGACCTTACAATGCTGCAAAAGTGATTCCCACTGAGTAGAAACTATTCTTTAAGTTTTGAATTTGCCTCTTCTTTCCAGTGATGTGCCATCCAGTAGCCTAGGTGACGCTGGGTAGTTGCAGGCAATCAGAAGGGTAAACAATTGATACACTTACAACAATCTTTTTTTTTTTTTTTACATTCAGTACAATATTCAATAAATTACATGAGATACTCAACACTTGTTTTGTAAAACAGGCTTTGTGTTTGATGATTTTGCTCTAATGGAGACGAACAGAAGTGTTCTGAGCGTGTCTGAGGTTGGCTAGGCTAGGCCACGATGTTCAGTAGGTTAGGCTTATTAAGTCCATTTTTAAAAAAAATATTTTTTATGTACTTATTTGACAGAGAGAGAGATCACAAGTAGGCAGAGAGGTAGGCAAAGAGAGAGGGGAAGCAGACTCCCTGCCAAGCAGAGAGCCCGATGTGGGGCTCCATTCCAGGACCCTGGGATCATGACCTGAGCCGAAGGCAGAGGCTTTAACCCACTGAGCCACCCAAGCGCCCCTATTAAGTCTGTTTTCGACTTCATGTTATTTTCAACTTACAATGGGTTTATCAGGACAAAACCCCATCATAAGCCAAGGAAGATCTGTATTATGGCTTTATATATTTTGATGTCGTATAAATTAACTTATCCCCTCATTCATTTTTCTTCTTGTTCAAACTTGCCCTGACTTCATTCTTCAAATGAATTTTAGAATGTACTTGTCACTTTTCTCAACCTGTTGGGGTTGTAATTGTATTCTCTTAATAAATCATGTTGGTGAAAACCCCTACCTTTAAAATATTGATTCTTGAGGTGCCTGGGTGGCTCAGTGGGATAAGCCTCTGCCTTTGGCTCAGGTCATGATCCCAGGCTCCTGGCATCAAGCCCCACATCGGGCTCTCTGCTCAGCAGGGAGCCTGCTTCCCTTCCTCTCTCTCTGCCTGCCTCTCTGCCCACTTGTGATCTCTCTCTCTCTGTCAAATAAATAAATAAAATCTTTAAAAAAAATATTGATTCTTCCCATCCAGGAATGTGATATAGCTATTTTCAGATCTTCTTTTATGTCCCTTAATGAAGTTTTTTAGGTTTCTTCAGAAGGTCTTGAATGTTTGTCATAAAGTTTATCCTTAGACATTATGAGGTTTATATGTTAATGAAATCTTTCGATTTTTCCTGTTATTTTTTTAATTGATGAATGTTGGTGTGTAAGAAGTCTGTTTTATAGGAAATCTATTGAGTAGTATACATTGATTTAGTATATGGCACCTTCCAAAACTCTTTTATTAATTCTAATCATTTTTTAGTTGACTCAGTTCTGTGTAGATCATTTCATCTACAAACAGCTTTAGTTTTCTGTCTTCCTACCCAGTATCTGTACTTCTTAGGTCTTTGACTTGTCCTATTTCACAGGTGAGGGCCTCCAGCAAAATGTGAAAGAATAGTTGTGGTAAAGAGGTGCCTGGGTGGCTCAGCTGGCTAAGCATCAGACTCTTGGTTTTGGCTCAGGTCATGATCTCAGGGTGGTGAGATGGAGCCCCACATTGGGATCAGTGCAGAGTCTGCTTGAGATTCTGTCCCTCTCCCTCTTCCCCTGCTCCCTGCTCATGCTCAGTCTCTCTCTAGGAAATAAATAAATATTTTTTTAAATAGTTGTAATAAAATTATTGGGACTATTAATGATGCTTCCTCAGAGGACGCTGAGTAGGATATTTGCTTTGGGATTATGGTAGCTAAACTTTATTAACTTAAAAATGTTTCTTGCTATTTCTAGCCTGCTAAGGATTGCTAGGAAGAGGTATACTGATGTACTAATGGTTTTTTAGGATTCACTGAGATATTCATTTATTTTTCTAATAGGGCAATGTTGAGAAGTACATGAACAGATCTCCTAATGTTTAGCCATCTTTATGTTCCTGGGATAAATTTATTTGGTCATGATGTATTAGTCTTACAATCGAATGTTGAATATGTAATATACATTCCTGACAGATTTTGCTCTAAACTTCTAATATAGGGGCACCTGGCTGGCTTAGTCATAAAGCATGCAACTTTTGATCTCGGGGTTGAAAACCAATATAAGTTGGTATTTAGAGCCATTTATCATTAAACTTGCTGAAATGCATTTGTACCCAATATTAGGTAAATGTGGCATTTTTAGTATAAGGATTTTATACCCAGATTCTAGCAGAATTTTATTATTTTGCTGATGTAAATTTTTTGCTTCTATTAGCAGATACTAACTGTTCAGTGTCTTACATAGGTATTCACCGTGTATTTTTATTAAGGTTCTGAGAAGAAATCTAGCTAGCTTGTCTCAGAGGGTAGATTCAGTCTAAAAGTTGTATAGGAACAACACGATAATACATTTGCCACGGTCTCTGTAGCACTATTCTTTTCTCCCCTTCTTAGGGGTTACTCACAGAACTTGGATAGAAATTTAGCTCTTCTAATTATCAGCTGGTAATTTCATAGTATTTATTTCCTCTGAGCCTCAGTTATGCCTCTGTAATCATTGAAATAACAGTCCCACTTATGGTTAAGCTGATAGACCCTCCAGAGCACACCCATACATTGAGAGCTTACATAGATTTTCAGCAAGGCAAAATTAAAGTACACACTGCTATTAGTAGAATACAACAAATATTGTTATTAATATTCACAGTAATGCATTTAATTATATATTATGTGATAATAATGTTATAATAATGTGATTAATATTAGTAGAATCCAAAAATTAGTAGAATGCAACAAATAGGCTTCACTTGGACCATCTGTCAGATCTTCATGGATCCACACATTTCTGCCTTTTAAGTTCAAATAGGTGAGCCATGTCAGACAAAAAGGTATATGCCAAGCCATCAGCAGGCTTTGGGGAAAGGAAGGTATAGAAAGCATTTTAAAAGCTCAGTCAGGGGCCAGCTGGGTGGTTCAGTCCATTAAGCCTCTGCCTTCAGCTCAGGTCATGATCCCAGGGTCCTGGGATGGAGCCCTATCTCGGGCTCCGTGCTCAGAGGGGAGTCTGCTTCTCTCTTTTCCCTGCCCCTGCTCTCTCCCTGTCTCTCTCGCGCACGCGCACTCTAATAAATAAAATCTTTTTAAAAAATTAAAAATAAAAGCTAATCAGCAATCACTAGTGAGAGGACTTTATGATGATATAGACCTGTGTTACATTACCCACTGAGACTTTTTTTTTAAGACTTTATTTTTAATCTCTGCACACAACATGGGGCTCCAATCCCAAGGTCAAGAGTCTTATGCTCCACCGACAGAGCCAGCCAGGCACACCTAACCACTGAGACTTCTAACAAGTTGTTTCAACCAATCTGGAAATTGTTGTTGGTCTTCTGCCATCAGAAGCCATTACTATTTTATTTTATTTACTTTTTAAACTTTAAGACTCACCATTTTTTAATTTTAATTTTAATTTTTAAATTTTATTATTATTATTTTTTTTAAGTAATCTCTGCTCCCAGTGTGAGGCTTAAACTGATGACACTGAGATCAAGAGTTGTGCCCTCTTCTGACTGAGCCAGCCGGGAGCCTCCATTATTATTCTAACAATAAAATACAGGAGCACTTCTCCTTAGTCCTTTCCAGTCCTACTGCAGGTAACACTTCCTCGTGGGGTTATTAGAAAGCTTAGTACTGAAACACGCTTGTAACAGTATCTGCTATAGTAACTGCTGCATTCTACTGTTTTTGTAAAGATGGAATATTCTAATGCTTCTATAAAGCTTTCAAGAAAAATGTGCAGGCAACAGGCCAATCAGGGGATTAAAAAAAAAAAAATCTTTTTTTAAGATACACTCCGAGCAGTAGAAAAGAGGAAGGGGCGGGGGGGGGGGGTTCTGGTCATAGAGCACAGCTCTCTGCTGAGGCAGGGATTTGAGTGGCAGATCCTGGAGTTGCAAGTGTGTGGGCAAGGAGGATGGGTCTTCAGACGAGGCTAAGGTAAGAAGGCTCTGCGGGTCCGCATCAGGCAAGTCCTTAAAGCAAAGGACGGGATTCCTCCTCTTCTCCAGGACTTAGGGGCTCAGCGTCAACTTTCGAGTTGACCAAGTTGCAATGTCCCCTGGCTCAAGAGCAAACTGAGAAGCAGCTGTGCGCCTGCAGCCCCAAAGCTCACTGGCCCACAAGTCACCTCCAAGTTTCTGTTCTGCTCTAAGCTCTGACCTAAGGAAGAAAATGAAGAGTTTACAAAGATAACCTGATCAAGTTTCCCAAAAGACGAAAATCCTAATCTCGGGAAGAGAAGGCGCTCCATGCTTTTCAGCTCCCCGCCGTCCTGCAAATCGCTCAGGCTAGCGTCTGGCGAAATGCAAACGCAGCGCCCGCCGGCGCCCGAAGGCCATGGAGCGCCCGGGTGCGGCCGGGCCCCAGGCGCCTGGCGCTCAGGCGCGCACACCCCTTTTCTGCAGACTCACAGGTTTTCAGGCCCCGCCTCCTCCGGGCCCAGCTCCACTCCGCCACCCTGTGGGCCCCGACCCAGGGGTCCGCAGCCACGCGCCCTCCGCCGCCGCGCCCCCGGCACCCGCCCCGAGCCCCCCGGGAGCGCGGCGCGCGGCGGGGGCGGCGGCGGCGCCTCCGGTCCGCGCGGCGCAGCGTCTGGGTCCTGGGGGCGCAGGGCAGGGAGGCGGGGCGCTCGGCCGGGGGCGGAGCTGCGGCCGCGAGCCCGCCCCCCGCTCGCCCTCCGCCGGCCGGCTGGAGCGGCCATGGAGGTCTACATCCCGTCCTTTCGCTACGAGGAGAGCGACCTGGAGCGGGGATACACGGTAGGCGCGAGCAGCGGCCGGACAGGGCCCCCGAGGCGGGACCGCGGCTGCTGAGCGCGGAGGTGTCCCCGGTCGCCGCCGGCCCTGCGCGGGTGTCCCCTGGCTGCCCTCCCTTCCGCGGGGCCTGAGGCTGGGCTGCGCCCCGGCGCGGTTGTCAGGGAGACGCCCCCACCCCCCCATCTGCCCCTCGCCAGAGCTCGGCTGCCGCGGGCGCCGGGGGCTCCTCCGGTTCGCTCCCTTCCCCCTCCCGGCCCCGCTCCCGGCCTCGGGGCAGCAGCGGCGGGACTCAAGCCCCGGCTCGCGACGCTCGCCGTTCTCCCCGCCCGCCGCCCGCCCTCTGCAGCCCGGGGTGGGCTGCGTCCGCGTCTGGCCCAGCTGCCCCCGCTGTCCAGGCAGGAGTGGCCGCGCCGCGCATTGATGTTGGCTTCCAAGTTCCGTGGGATTCATTCAGATGGAAAACATGCTAATCCAAAAAAAAAAAAAACAAAAAACAAAAAACAAAAAAACAAAACAAACAAACAAAAAAAACCCACATCATTTGCAGCCCTTTATTAGCCAGAGTGAACACATGCGTTGCTTTGAGATGGCTTCCAAAGTTGTTTGTGTTTTTTTTTTTTTTTCCTAGTTCTGGTGGGCCATGAAAGGGCATAATCAGCTACTTACTGCGCACCTGTTCCATACCTAAGCGGGATCCCTGAGAACTGAGAAACAGGGCCTCTGATCTCCAGAGTGGAAGAGAGGGTCGGGAGGGTGAAGACCAGGGCCTGGGACCTTTGCATGAGTTAGCAAGTAAACCGTAGGTGGTTGGTTTCCTAGTGAACTTAGACACCTTCATCTAGACGGTTATTGCCAGAGGGAGAAGTGCCTCACCCGGGCTCGACCTCGGAAGACTCTGTTTCCAGTTGTTAAAGACCAGGTAGGCGGAGAAGATTGCAGAAGGCAGTCTGAAAGGACTGATGGAATATTCATTTCGAACTCACTCACTTGCTAAACAGCAGTTCTGTTAATTGGGCAGAGTATTTTAACCTTTCTTTTCCCTAACTATTCGTGGGTTTTGGTGACAGCCTGTTTGGAACCTTCCGTGTTTTCATAGGGAGAATTAAATCTCCCTATTTTTTAGAATTAAGAGTGGTGATTGAAAAAAAAAAAATCCAGGGAGTATGTGGATTTTTAGGACTAAGTAGACCTCTGGGTTCAAGTGTTCAAGTGTCCCAAGAGAAGTACTGAATACCTTCCTTTGGGATGGAGACTGAGGCGGTGGGGGGGGGGGGGGGGGGGGCGGGCAGCTGAGCTCTGTTTGGCCATTATTTATGTAAGTTTTATATAAATAACTCTTCCCGATGAATTAATAGTTGGTTAAATATTCTGCATCTTCCTTAAAAAGAGGGAGAATTGAACTTAAATTTGAACCTGTGCGAGGCCTTTTCCTTAGAGCCTTGAAACCTTGCTTGTCTTTCATTAGTCCAGGTGTGTCAGCCCCACCCCTCCCCACCCCCATCAGCATCAGCAGCCTAGGAGGGCCTGATGTCTTTGGGGCATTCTTTAGGATCTGAAGATTACAGCCTGCTTGTTTAGTCTTTTGATGTGTTTAGATGAAGGTGGTCTCAGTCCAAACTAAAAGTTACTTACCTCCACAAATAAGGACTTTGAAGTAGACCAGAATTAAGGCTTTTGGGCCATTACTGGTTATTCTTTTCTTACAGGATCTGTGTTTTCCCACACTATTTTCCAGTATCTTTTGATTACTCGTATTACGACCAGGCGTGTGCTGGCTTGTGACTTAAATTGATTTGGAAGGAGCCCTTTTCTTGGCAACCGTGGCAGTCTGGAGATTGCTTATATGATGAAAGTTTGTGTGCTTTGTAAAAGCTTACTTTTTAAAAAAATCCTAATTCATTTAGATTGATAACCATATTGTCGAGATACCTCTGCAAGTGATTTTTTTCCTATGTGAGTCAATGAAGCAGCTGTTGGATACCTTGTTCCCTTTGAGCAGCTGTTTTATAATTGCACAGCAGAAGACTATACTTTTGGGGATCATTTTCTTTCGGGGATCATTACTATAGTTTGTTATAATTGCACAGCAGTTATTCATTTAGTAAATATTAACTAAGTGCCTGCTTGGTGTCTGTATTCTAGGTCCTAGGAATTTAGCGGTGAATAACATTTCGTCTTTTTAAAAAACCCTTAGAATTTACAAATATAATCTCAGTTTTCTGATCAAGAAACTGGTGAAATAATGTATACTTCAGAGTAAAAAGCATCTTTTTTCTAAGGTGATTATGTGTATTTAAGAATATGTAAGGAATATTGCATTAGAGCAAATTCAGTGATTGGAGGCTTATAGTAAAGAAGTGTGGTTCTTCCTTGCTTCTAGTCCCATGCCCTCAAAGCATAAAACATGGGTTGCATTCTTAGAGACTTTTCTGTATGCCATGAAAACATATGGGTTTCTTTCTTAGAATAAATTGTAAGATTTAACTATAACTGTCATCCCGCAACATGAATATCTTTCTGTACCGATATGGATAGGTCTGTCTCCTAGCTACTAGCAAGGGGATCTTCCTCATAAGGAACATGCCATCGTTTGTTTCCCCAGATCTTGTTGCTGGCCACTAACACTTCTAATTTTTAGCAACTGTGTCAGAGATGTTGAAATGAGACATCCCTATACATGGCTTTTTTTTTTTTTTTTTTGAATGCCTACGGCTAGGATTTTTGTAGAGCCTTAACTAGAATTGGTACTTCTGCGCCTTTTAAAGTTTTCATGGGTAATGCTCAGTTGTTACTCAAGAAGTTTATACAAAGTTATGCCCAATGTATAAGGTAATTTACCTTTAAAGAGTGAATTTTTGCCTTTTTAACACTTAAACATTGACTGTGGGCTTGTGGGATGTCAGGTGTGGAATTGATAGGTAAACGGATGTTGCTTCTGTCCTTAGAATTCTCAGCCAGCAGGGGCAAGGTAGGGACAGGCTAGGGTGCCCTGGTGTTATCTGGCAATCTTGAGGAGGAAGAGGGCTTTTCTGCACTGCCTTGAGGTCATGTGTGGTGTGGGGTTGGGGGTTGCTTAGGAATGCTGACTTTTGAAATCTGGCTAGGTTTTTGCTGGCACTGTGAATTCTAGAAGGAGGAAGCGTAACACAAAATCTCATCTCGGGGGAAAGGCATTTTAAACTCCCAGATTCATCAGAACTAAAAAAAGAAAGAAAGAAAGGTGATGGGGGAACCCTTCTAAATCATCTTAATTTATAAAGAATCAGGAAAGGATCTGCTACCGAAATTCACATGAACTCAGATGTACTTCATGGGAAGGTTATTCTCTACCTGCCCTCTGTCCCCATAGCTTAGATGTTTACTGTCTGTTTCCCAGCTAGGCTCTAAACTCCTTGAGACTGGCACAGTGTTGGTTTCTACTGCTGTACTCCAGTGCAAGGGTCTATCCCATAGTAAGAATTCAGCACTTGTGTGATGAATAAATAATGAATGCATGAGTCTTCTAATAGGAGAAGGAAACCCAAAGAGCAGTGATTATGAAGCATGAAGCAGCTCGGTGGGTAGAAAGGGGTCTGGGTGCAGACTGGAGTTTCCAGTAGCAGAAGGATTGTGCAGACATTTGACAGAGGGAGGTGGAGAGGGATCAGCTCGCCAGCCTGAAGAGCTGGAAAGGAGTACGGACTTCAGCCACAGACATTGGGTTTGAGGAAGGAAGAAACATGATGAGCTTTGCATTTAGAAAGATGACCCTGGAGTTTTAATCATTTAAGGGATGGTAGCAGAAGGAGAGAGAAGGTGTGAGCTGGAACTAAGGCATCTGTGAAAGGAAGATGACAAGAATCTCTAGGATCTGGTGACCAGACGTGAGGCAGGAATGTGATTCCCTGGGTGCGAGCGCCGTTGGCCTACTCAGAGCTGAAGCGAGGGGGAGATTTCATGTGGGGACCTGTTGTGTTTTTCATGATTGGTGAGGCTGTTTGATTTTGAAGCTCAGGATAGAGGTCTGGGGAAGGAATATGGCTCTAGAGGGTCCTTCCGCACAAAGGATGAGAAAAGTGTAGCAGTTAATGCTATTCCCAGGAGGAGAGTGTAGAGTGAAGAAAGATGATGGACTTAAGGTAAAATCCCACAATTTGCCTGAGCAAAGAATTCTCAGCACTGCGTGCTGAGGGAGAGGAGAGAAGGACAAAGGATGAAGGACGGGCAGGGGTGAAAAGTGGGAAGACAGAATGGTAGATGCTTTACAGGAAGGAAAGGGCTGGATGTAGCTGAGTGGTCTTGTAAGGTGACGATGGAGAACAGTCCGTTGGATGTGAGAGTAAGCAGGTCTGGGGTATGAATATAGGCTAGTATTTTCAATTTTCAGATACGTTTTTGGGAAATAACAAAAATAGAATTACTACCTAGGTTGCAACAGAAAAGTTTGAATGTATTAGATTTCACTATTTTATAGCTGTAAAAATCAAGGCATTGAATTAGATGGTTTTTCAAGTTCATTTTAACTGTCTGTGACTCTGTTATGGTTATACAAATATGTCTTTTTCTTGTATTCTGGTCTCTTTGATTTACTTGATGTATCATGCTTTTCACTATGTAAGGCAGCTTCATATTTACATGATCATAATGCTGAGACATATGCAGGAATCATTGCTTTAATATTTTATGGATTAAAATACAAAAATAGAAGAATACAAGGAACCATTTACCAATTCCTCATCTTCAGTCTTTTAAATTATTACTTCATTTATCACCCCTTATTCTTCCACTTTTTAGGAATATTTTGGGGCACCTGGGTGGCTCAGTGGGTAAAAGCCTCTGCCTTCAGCTCAGACCATGATCCCAGAGTCCTGGGATCAAGCCCCACAGCGTCCTGCTCTCTGCTCAGTGGGGAGCCTGCTTCCCTTCCTCTCTCTCTCCCCTGCCTCTTTCTCCCTTTCTCTTCCCTGCCTCTCTGCCTACTTGTGATCTCTGCCTGTCAAATAAATAAAATCGTTAGAAAAAAA